ATTAAATATGACCGAAAAAGTAAGATTAATAATTCTAACACGAATTTTCTCAATCTTTCGTACATTACGCTTCACTGTTGGAGGTAAATCAAAAATCACTTCTCCAAAATTCATTTTTATTTCTAGTCTGACGCGACACGGGCGCGTTTCGTAAAACTTATTACATTTTCAAAGACTTCACAAATACACAACTGATTAGAACTTGCGTTTCCCTGATTTTATATCTACATTTGAGTGAGGTGGGAAGGGTGATGTGGCATTACATTTGAGTGAGGTGGGAAGGGTGATGTGGCATTAACACAAGACAGAACGCTAGGGGATATTAATAGGGTATTAAAAGTATCAACACAAGACAGAACAGAAACGATGGGTATTGAATAGAAGTGTTTGTAGAAAGCCTATTGGTCCATATTTCTTGATGCTTCTATATTGGAGCGGAGTCTTGAGGTGGGTAGAATATAGTTGTGCAGTAATTGGCTGTTGATTGCTGGTGTTGACTTCTTGATGTGTAGTGCCTCGCAAACGTCAAGCCGCCTGCTATCGCTGTATCTATCGATGATTTCTGTGTTGTTTACTAGGATTTCTCTGGCGATGGTTTGGTTATGGGAAGAGATTATATGTTCCTTAATGGAGCCCTGTTGTTTATGCATCGTTAAACGCCTAGAAAGAGATGTTGTTGTCTTGCCTATATACTGGGTTTTTTGGAGCTTACAGTCCCCAAGTGGGCATTTGAAGGCATAGACGACGTTAGTCTCTTTTAAAGCGTTCTGTTTTGTGTCTGGAGAGTTTCTCATGAGTAGGCTACTCATGAGAAACTCTCCAGACACAAAACAGAACGCTTTAAAAGAGACTAACGTCGTCTGTGCCTTCAAATGCCCACTTGGGGACTGTAAGCTCCAAAAAACCCAGTATATAGGCAAGACAACAACATCTCTTTCTAGGCGTTTAACGATGCATAAACAACAGGGCTCCATTAAGGAACATATAATCTCTTCCCATAACCAAACCATCGCCAGAGAAATCCTAGTAAACAACACAGAAATCATCGATAGATACAGCGATAGCAGGCGGCTTGACGTTTGCGAGGCACTACACATCAAGAAGTCAACACCAGCAATCAACAGCCAATTACTGCACAACTATATTCTACCCACCTCAAGACTCCGCTCCAATATAGAAGCATCAAGAAATATGGACCAATAGGCTTTCTACAAACACTTCTATTCAATACCCATCGTTTCTGTTCTGTCTTGTGTTGATACTTTTAATACCCTATTAATATCCCCTAGCGTTCTGTCTTGTGTTAATGCCACATCACCCTTCCCACCTCACTCAAATGTAATGCCACATCACCCTTTCCACCTCACTCAAATGTAATGCCACATCACCCTTCCCACCTCACTCAAATGTAGATATAAAATCAGGGAAACGCAAGTTCTAATCAGTTGTGTATTTGTGAAGTCTTTGAAAATGTAATAAGTTTTACGAAACGCGCCCGTGTCGCGTCAGACTAGAAATAAAAATGAATTTTGGAGAAGTGATTTTTGATTTACCTCCAACAGTGAAGCGTAATGTACGAAAGATTGAGAAAATTCGTGTTAGAATTATTAATCTTACTTTTTCGGTCATATTTAATAATATATATATATATATATATATATATATATATATATATATATATATATATATATATATATATATATATATGAGAAATGAGATATATATATATATTTTGTGTGAGAGAAACGCAGCGTGTTCTTCCAAGCGACGCAAGCGTCACTAAACTGCCGTACTCAAAATTGCATGAACCTAACCTACTGGAGGACCTACAAACAGAAAACGGGAGACAATTGGCCTCAGGGGAAATAATACCTTAAAATACGACATACTATTCAGGAGGAACCGGAATAACGATATACTTCTTATACGAACGATATAACGATGAGAATCCTGTTGGGATTTATCAGGCCAGGTATAATAGGGCCTTCCTGCCGTGTTCTCTGTTCTCTTGTAAAGTCAGGAGTGCATTGCTGCAACTTTAATCGCAGGGACAGGATGAGAAACTTCTTTACTCTCTGTGTCCTGTCAATCTATCAGCAGCCTCAAGTTTCACCTCAGTCGATGTTCCCTGACAACACACTCAGGGCGGGAAACTTCACTTTAAAGGCTTCGATGAGACCGATCTCAGCATGACTTGGAGAGTTTGGGGGGGGAGGGGGTGGTAATGTGTGTGTTTGTTGAGCAGGTGGTAATGTGTGTGTTTGTTGAGTAGGTGTTAATGTGTGTGTTTGTTGAGCAGGTGGTAATGTGTGTGTTTGTTGAGCAGGTGGTAATGTGTGTGTTTGTTGAGATGGTAATGTATGTTTGTTGAGCAGGTGGTAATGTGTGTGTTTGTTGAGTAGGTGGTAATGTGTGTGTTTGTTGAGTAGGTGGTAATGTGTGTGTTTGTTGAGCAGGTGGTAATGTGTGTGTTTGTTGAGTAGGTGTTAATGTGTGTGTTTGTTGAGCAGGTGGTAATGTGTGTGTTTGTTGAGCAGGTGGTAATGTGTGTGTTTGTTGAGTAGGTGTTAATGTGTGTGTTTGTTGAGCAGGTGGTAATGTGTGTGTTTGTTGAGTAGGTGTTAATGTGTGTGTTTGTTGAACAGGTGGTAATGTGTGTGTTTGTTGAGCAGGTGGTAATGTGTGTGTTTGTTGACTAGGTGGTAATGTGTGTGTTTGTTGACTAGGAGGTAATGTGTGTTAGACGAATTGTGAGGTGAACGCAATATTACCTCGGAGAATTATCAGTATCATTATTGAGGTGTGTTTCCAACATTCGTGACCAGCAGTGATCACTATTATTATTGACCCATTGATCAATTATAATATCCAGGTACAATAATAAGAATTATTAGAAGCGAGAGAAGGCAAGACGCAATGACAACACACCAGAAGCAATAATTTGTATAAATGTTTTCTTATATAACAAATATATATTCTTTCTTATTCTCCTGACCAAAAGAATTTTTTTATTTTAATTTGTATCAACATTTCGCGAGGAAGTAATGCTACCGCGGACGATCGAGTGCTTAGGCAAAGCAATGTAACTTTAATTTAGATGGTTGAAATACACCTGTTTAGTACAGCCAGGATTGAGATGATTCGTATAGGTTGTTACAGAATAAATGAGTTACAGAATAAATGAGTTACAGAATAAATGAATTCTGATAATGGCAAATGTCCAGATGATACGCTGTTACTGGGACACTCTTATGTAATCAGTGTACTGTACTATCTATGTAATCTTTGCCAGTTTCAAATGTGCTTCCATTTATGAATAAAGTCTTTGATTTGGATTGGATTTGAGGTGGAAAGCAGCACCCGTATGAAGGGGTGGAGCCAACCTGATGGGAAGCACCCAGGGGGGATGGAAGCACCCAGGCGGGGATGGAAGCACCCAGGGGGATGGAAGCACCCAGGGGGATGGAAGCACCCAGGGGGGGATGGAAGCACCCAGGCGGGGATGGAAGCACCCAGGGGGAATGGAAGCACCCAGGGGGGATGGAAGCACCCAGGGGGATGGAAGCACCCAGGGGGGATGGAAGCACCCAGGGGGGATGGAAGCACCCAGGGGGGATGGAAGCACCCAGGGGGGATGGAAGCACCCAGGGGGGATGGAAGCACCCAGGGGGGATGGAAGCACCCAGGGGGGATGGAAGCACCCAGGGGGATGGAAGCACCCAGGGGGGATGGAAGCACCCAGGGGGGATGGAAGCACCCAGGGGGGATGGAAGCACCCATTTGTGGCGAATTAAGTTTTTGTGCTCTGCAGTTTAATTGCTCCAGCTCAACTTTTTTAATTACAGTGAAGTTTATTGTATAAGTCGACCATAAAATAATTCTTTACTTCCTTCATTCTTTATAAATTTGCCTCCACGGAGCAAGAACCAGCACGGGACTTGAGTGTGTGTGCTGAACATCGAGTTGTAACTTGAGTGTTTGCTGAACATCGAGTTGTAACTTGAGTGTCTGCTGAACAACAAATGGTAGAATTACGCTACTCACATTTCTAAGACTCAGTAGCGCCCACAGCCCATCAAGGAATACCTGAACACCCCCCCCCCCCCCCCCCCCCCGCCGCCCTTCTGGTCATCTCGCGACGCACTAAGTAGAATAATGTTCAGACTCCAATCGTCATTTCCCCTGGACTGTATAACAGACCACTCAACTTGTGTGTCTAATCGAGGCTCCGGCCGAGTTTTAATTGGCGTGGCCGCTAATTGAATCTATTATGAAAAATATAGTTTGACCAGCCACGACCAGCTCTGTGCAGCCGGGCCCTTGACCAGCGGTGGCACAGCTTGAGTTCCCAAGACCTTGTCCAGGCACAGCAGTGCTCGTCAGGGTCGTACCGCAACCCGTCCTCTTAAAAATAACTTCACTTTTCGCTCGTATACGCGCTATGACCAAATTTGGACGTAATTTCAAATGATATCGACTCACAAAAGTGACGTACTGTTCGGTTTTCTGTTTGAGTCGTCCGGCTTACTCGGCCAGCTTAGAAGAGGAAACTTTCCATTAACGTTTTTCATAACGTTTTGAAACTTTATGAGAATTTCCTGTCCACCTAACCTATCAGAGGACCCTTAACTTACTATTGTTGAGAAAAAAAATCCCAAATTTATATTATTTTTTTTTTCATTTTCAAATTACGTCCATATTCGGCCATACTGGTAAACGGTGAAAAGCGACGTTCTTTTTAAGAGGACAGGTTGTCCTATAGTTAGTAACATACTTAGTAACCCTGGAAACACAAACCGTAACTGTCTCTATTTTCCGCTTGTTATAACTTGCAATAAAGTTGTTACGTCTTGGCTTAACGTGTTTATACCGTATTAGAACGTTATTACAATTTAAACATCAGGGCCCCTTCCCCCCCTCTCTCTTTTTTGGCCTTTCATTCGGACCCCCGCAAAAAAGATTCCCCCATCCTAAGTGGCTTAATAAAAATAAAGTTCGTCCTTACCTTGACTTGTTCCACTCGTCTCCTCGGAACCTGGAAGAAAATAAACACAAATTCAATAAATCGTTTGGTCTAATCTGAACAAAATGAATAAATTTGTGTTTTATCTGACGTTGAAGAAACCCCCCCCCCCCCCTGCCACTTTCAACTAGCTTGTAAAATACGTAACTGGGATTCAAAGCCATCGTTGTGGGTTATATTATGGGGGGTGATTGCTGGCTTCACTGGGGCACCTCGAATATAAGCCAGGGGCCAGATTCACGAAAGCACTTACGCAAGCACTTACGAACGTGTACATCTTTCCTCAATCTTTGACGGCTTTGGTTACATTTATTAAACAGTTTACAAGCATGAAAACTTGCCAATCAACTGTTGTTATTGTTATAAACAGCCTCCTGGTGCTTCGGAGCTCATTAACTGTTTAATAATTGTAAACAAAGCCGCCAAAGATTGAGAAAAGATGTACAGGTTCGTAAGTGCTTGCGTAAGTGCTTTCGTGAATCTGGTCCCAGGAATATATTCACTGAATAATTCCATTCACTTTATCACTGAATACTGTAAGAACCGTGAACTGGGACCATAGTTCTGGTGCGGCCAGCCCTGTGGCCCTCTAGGGAGGCCAGTGACTTGCGTCTGGTTTTAATCAAAATTTAATTACTTTGTCGCTGGCTATTAACTCTTGAAGGTATTATGGTACGTTGGAAATTGGCTCAGGCGCAGACTTGTTATACTATTTATAAGTGAATTTAACGCAAGATTACGCACATTGATACGTATTCACAAATACACACAAATATACTCAAATAAAGATACATGCAGAGGAAAATTCACACACGCTCTGATACACACACACACACACACACACACACACACACACACACACACACACACACACACACACACACACACACACACACTGGTGGCACGTGAACAAGGGGACACAGGTGGAAACTGAGTACCCACATGAGCCACAGGGACATTAGAAGGAACTTTTTCAGTGTCAGAGTAGTTAACGGATGGAATGCATTAGGCAGTGATGTGGTGGAGGCTGACTCCATACACAGTTTCAATTGTAGATATGATAGAGCCCAGTAGGCTCAGGAACCTGTACACCAGTTGATTGACAGTTGAGAGGCGGGACCAAAGAGCCAAAGCTCAACCCCCGCAAGCACAATTTGCAGAGTACAATTAGGTGAGCACACACACACACACACACACACACACACACACACACACACACACACACACACACACACACACACACACACACACACACACACACACACCAAGTCGAATGAATTCACAAAAATATCTGAGACATCCAGGGACACCGCAGTCCCTGGATTGACTGACTCCACATTGTCGCTAACTAACTCGAATTCCTGATAGACTTTGCATTAGTTGCAACACTAACAATAGCGTCTCTAATTAGTACTGAACGTTACAATCACCTTTCCGATTGTATTTTGCGCGTTAGCGGAGAGGCGATGGAAAATCCTCGTGATTGTATCTATACGAAGAAAATATGGACTTGTTTTCTATATTGAAAAATTGGAGAGTCTTTGAGGTTCAGAGAGAGAGTGTAAGAGGAAGTGTGTATATATATATATATATATATATATATATATATATATATATATATATATATATATATATATATATATATATATATATATATATATATATATATATATATATTGCATTAGACTGCAAAATACAGTTATTAAGGGAGTGAGCCAGCATGTATCGTACGCAGCTTAAATGGTGTACGATTCTCAATTCACATTATAATTTTGAAAAGGAATTCTGAATTAATTTCTCAGCATACGTGGAGAGTTACTGAACCAATTAATAGGAATATAAATCACTGCTCAGTAATTAAAATTTTAATTCAATGTTACCTAAGGATTTAATTTTTTAAAGAACAGGTTATATATATATATATTTATTGATTTATGCATTTATTTTATTTTATATTATTTTATTTTATTTTTATAAGTCCAGTGGAATTTTTTTCTTTCCCAGAGCCAGTTTTATCTTTACTGTTTTTATTTTATTATTGAAAGCAAATTTTATTTGTTTTGTGGGTATTTGTCACCTGTTTTGAGACAGCTGGAAATAGTCCGGAATCATTTGGTCACTTGTCTGAAGGCATTTCTTACAAGTCCGGTGGGCATTTGTCACCTGTGATGGCTCATGTGTACCATAAATATCGAATGTCGACTAAGCACCTGTACTAGCACAATACTAGCACCCATACTAGCCCCTGAACTAGCAACCCATAGTCACATACGGGAGCAACAGCAAGCCGGGTTCCACACCGTCACAGGAACAGTCTGCCCTAGTTTTAATTAAGCAGGAAGTAAGCTAAACGTGACAGCGCCTGATTACTATCTCGACCCGTTTTCTCTAAGTGTCACGACGTCATGAAAATGATGTATTGAATTCCGCCGAACCTCTAACCTAACCGAGGACCCCACGTATAGAAAACGTGACAGGCTCGTGTCTAATAGCTTCTCTGACCTACTGTCTAATAGCTTCTATAGCCTACTGTCTAATAGCTTCTATGACCTACAATCCAACAGCTTCTCTGACCTGTCCAAAAACGCAAAACCATTACGAATATATAACACTTGGAAGGGTTCAGGCTAAGGATTTTGGGATGGGACAGGAGGGGAAAGGAATGGTGCTCAACCACTTGGTGGACGGTCGGGGGATTGAACGAGGACCTGCATGAAGCGAGACAGTCACTCTACCGTCCAGCCCAAGTGGTTGGGTTTTAACGTAGAGGGTGTTATAGTCTATTTTGTGTTGCTTTGAGTTGTAACTCAACTCAATCAAAGACGTTAACGGTTGAGTTGGGTTGTGTAAGATCATACCGGAAAGTCGTTGATGATGTTGTGGAAATCACAGAGACCAAGTTTCAGTTTGGTAAACATAACATAGATTTTCTTTGACAATTTGCAGGAAAAAAATCTGCAAACTTTGGACATTAAAAAAAAAAAGGGTGAGGTGTGTGTTCAGGACACCGACTTTGGTGAGCCAATGGTAATATGTTTTGTGTTTTGAGCGACCAATCACTACTCAGGATAGACCCTGAGAGGAGTCACGTGACCCCGGGGGCTCACGTGACGGGGGCGCGACATGTATAGTGGCAAAGACGGAGCTCAAAGCCTTATTTTGGTCACTCAGATGGCCCTCAAGCACCTTGATCTTCCAGTCCCTTGTCTTGAACTACCATAACGTACTAAATACAAAGTTCTAACCTAACCAGAAACGAACGAGCCTAAACAACCCACCTAACCCAACCTATGGTTAGAAAACGTGGATTTTTTGTGAGCCGCTGCTTTTCAGAGTGATCGGTACGTTAAGGATCATAACGTGCAAAATGGGACGTATTAGTTGAGAAGACGAGTTAGAACTTTAAATTGAGATGACATGACGGTGGCGGGGATGAGAGATGCTGACTCGGATGTATGCCAGAATCCAACAGAATAGTTGAGATGTTGATTGGTACTGAAGAGATTTCTAGGTGAATCATTGCGGCTAATCCTTTTGTCATATGGCGTTGATCATATATTGTGAGCGCATTGATCTCTTAAGGTATAACAGGAATGCTTGAGTCTGTGAAATTATTGATCTCCAGTGTTATATCAGAAAATTCCTGGATCTTTGAATGTTGTGATCTATTGTTGTATAAGGCAAGTATCTGGGAGTGAGAACTCCCAGCATTTATATAATATATATATACGTATATATTAATTGTACTGTGTGTTTATTAATTGTACTGTATATCTATTAATTGGACTGTGTATTTATTAATTAAGTTTATAAGTGAGAAAATCCGAAGGAGTCGTGATCTAGTCGTCTAGAGTGTGGACCTGGGAACACCCTCCGCATAGGTTCGAACCCTCACTACAGCTCCTACGGATGTTCTCATTGACACAGTCACGTTAGTGTGATTACTCTCTGTGTAAAGTGTATAAGTACACTCATTCTTAATATATTTGAGTCTTCACTACAAACTGCTCATCCCTCCTACAGGGTTTTAATTTCATGTGAACCAAAACGTTTACACCTTCCACTTGGGAATAACAAAACAACAGTCTTGTTTCATGTCTACTCTCCTACAGCAACGAGTGTTGACCAGACCACACACTAGAAGGTGAAGGTGAAACGACGACGTTTCGGTCCGCCCTGGACCATTTTCAAGTCGACTGAGAATGGTCCAGGACGGACCGAAACGTCGTCGTCCCTTCACCTTCTAGTGTGTGGTCTGGTCCTGCACCAACGAGTCTTTCCCAATTAAATCGAAAGAACAATGTCAACTTACACAAATAAATATTTAAATCAACAAATTCAGTTTAATTAGTAGGGAGAGGAAACCCTCATTACGGTACATACAAAAGTATACGACAACGTGGGCTCGTAACTCGTGTCTGTTACATCATTTTTAAGTGCTTTAATCTTCCCTCACTAATTGCAAACATTATTGTTGATTGCTTCAAGGTATATTTCAGGCCTGGGATTGCTTCCATGTACAGCCGCCCGCACCCGGCTTGTCCCGCTTGACTCATCACATTCCGCTCATCGAGTTCGATTCATCATCATTCTTCTCATCATGCTTGGCAAATAACTCTCAGCTTGTCATGCTTGGGCTTGTCACGCTCGCTTTAACATACTCTGAATATCATGCTCGGCTCAAATACAGAAGTTAAAATAAATATATACAATAAAGTTTCTAATGCCATCCTCAGCATATCATTTAAAGTGTAACTATGATAGTACAATTTTTTTTAATAGCAATTTCATAAACTCTCAATAGTTTTAAAGTAAGCATTTGGTACCCACCCTAATCAAAGGTAGGGAGCTTTAACGTCTGGTAAACAAATGCAGATGAAATAGCAAACAAGGTATATGAACTGAGAGAGAGAGAGAGGGAGAGAGAGAGAGAGAGAGAGAGAGAGAGAGAGAGAGAGAGAGAGAGAGAGAGAGAGAGAGAGAGAGAGAGAGAGAGAGAGAGAGGGAGAGAG